AGAGGTTTATTTTTTGGACTCGTGGATTGAGCCAGATAAGCTCCAGATTGATCCAGAGAGCGTCCAGATTCCTGGGCAGGACGAGGGTGGAGTGATCGGGTGGAAAATCGGCATTTAGTGAAAATTTATAACCTGAATGTTGAAGCTCTGGTTCCTTTCCTCCACCCTGCTCCTAGAGTGCAGGGACATTCACCAAGTAGAAGTTTGGAGAGTTCTTTTCTGGAGAAATGGAATAGCCTCCGAGAAGAAGCCTCTAGACACTGAGATACAGTCCCAAGAGGTTAGTTCACTATTAGGTCACAGTGAATCCAGCAAATGAACAGGTCCTGCCGTACCTACAGTGCTTTCTGTACACCTGAGGCTCAACTTCAGCAGGCAGAACAGATGGACAGGAGAGGCAAAACAAGTAGAAAATGGAACTGAAAGACAGAGGTCATGTAAAAAGAAGAAAACTTCAAAAATTATAATTAATATTGCTTGGGAGATAAGACGCCGTGTTTATGAAATAACAGTAAGATTTTATAACATAGGAACAATGAACTAAGGGAACTTTGAGAAATTAGAAAATATAATGGTACAGAAAAATTAGAAGAGTTGGAAGATAAAAGCAATGAACTTTACTAGAAGTTAGAGTAAAAATAATGAGCTAGACAATAAGCGAGCAAAGATAAAGAAAAGGCTAATATGCAAATTACAGGCATTTTAGAAGGAGACAACACAGATATTAAAAGGGAGGAAGTTAAAAGAAATAATTCAGAACTGTTACTCAGAATTGAAGGTTATGAGTTTTCAGATAAAAATGCCCTCTATACTAAAGCATACCATCATGATTTTCCAGAATATTAGGGATACAGTCTTCCAAAGAGAAAACATGAATTCAGTTTTGATCTGGTTTGAAGTGCCTGTGAAATGTCTGAAAAGCAAATAGATTTGGAGCTTCTAAGTGAAGTCCGGGTCAGGGGTAAAAACATGGTAGTTGCTGTGATGTGGGTGGTAATTTATATTTTAGAGTTGAAGGGAGAGTACAGAGTGAGAAGAGAGCCGGACTGAGTCTTCGGATGAGCTATTTAATGGCCAGCTGAGGAAGATATTCTAGCAAAGGTGACTGAAAAGGAGCAGCCATAAAGATGAGAGGAATCAGACAGTATTGCATGCTGGAGTCAAAGAGAAGCGTGCTTCCAGAGGGGAAAGTGGTCGAATTCCATCAATTGGTGTTGAGAGGGAAATAAGGACTGAAAAATATATCAAAGGACTCAGAGTTGCTTGTAGGTAGGTGTTTTTCCCTGCTGCAGCAGGGCAGCTTTGAAGGGAAAATTTTAGGGGGAATGACGGGGCTTTTCCACTCTGGGGAAAAATCACTGGTCAGAATGTTATTGGCAATTGTTACACTAGATAAATAAAGGCCACCAATTATAGGCACAAGGGGTTGTCCAAGGCATGTGGATAAAGTGCCCAAATGTTTATGGGTTTTGTGTCTGGTCGTATATTATAACTACTAATAATTCCAATAAAAATAATATCTATAAGTAAAAATTAGGATTAGGCACCTATTCTGTGCCAGAGTTCTCGCTGTCCTTTATTTATATTATTTTTAATAATCTTGCATAGTATCATTCCATTTTTATGTGAATAAAGTGAATCTTAGACTACCTTTCACTTATTTAGACAACGTCTCTCAGCGTTGGCATCGTGCGCAGCCTCAGTTCTGACTCCAAAGCAGTTGTCTTAACACGTGTCATTTACTGCCCACTTACTCTAGATGAATGAATGTCCCTCCTGGGACACAGCATTTTTCCCTATGTCTCTGAAATACATTAAGTTAACTCTTTTCTTTTTTAGTCCTTAACCGTGGAAAGTAATTGGCCGGGATCATCCTCTAAAAAACTCGTAATTTGTGATCCCCGTGTGCCTACCTCTGGATGTTTCTTTCTCACTCCTGATGAGGTGTGGTGTAGTTTCGTGTTTTGCAAATGCTATGGTAGTATTGTGTTGCTGACACCTGCCTACTAAAGGTATTTTGTTGACAAATAAGGCATGTTTCTATTTCTTTTTACGAACATGGAAAACATGGGTTTCTTATATTTGCATCAAAATGGCCTGGGGATGCTTTTCATAAATGGCCTAGCTAGACATCACAGGTCATTTTGATCTAGTAGGCCTATGGCACGTACCCAGCCGTGTGCATTTTGTAAAAGCTTCCCAGGGTGATTTTCATTTCGCTAATACTCGTTTGATTGATTTGTGGCACAGTCGTGATTTATTCTCCATTCTCATTTTTTAAATTGGGAAAACCGATAGGAAAATAAGTGTCCAAAAAATGTCCCATTTATCTTGTAACTGTGTACATACGTATAGGAAAACAGACACACACGAACACAGCCACACATGCGTACGTGCTCCCCGTCTCTAAGTGCTTTCCCTCTCTTTCACAAAATTATAATTTTTTCCAGCGTTCCAATCACTTATTAATCATTCCTTTTGTGCTTTACAGAATGGCGGCCGAACCGAGTCTCCAAGATGACAGTGAATTTTTGTACGCTGCACAGCCCGAGTTGCTGAGGTACAAGGCAACCCAGCTCGCGGTCGAGGATGTTATAGACTGGTATCAGACCAGGGCGGAGGAAATAGAGCATTACGCTCGACAGGTGAGGGGACAGTGACAGCTGCTGCTCGGTGATGCCAGGAGTGCTGCTTTGGATCCTAAGGATTCAGTGCATGTAGTGGCTGCTAACAGTGGTTGCAAGGGATGAGTGAATATTTCTGACCACCTTCGTTTATTTATCCTTTGCCTCAGACTTCTTTGTGGCTTTTTTCCATTATCAAAGAGCAAATAAAAGTTGTTCAAAATCTTTCTTATAACGTAAGCTGTAAAATATGGTCCTTGCTGTTCCAGATTTTCCATAAATTTTTAATAGCTTAATATCATATTAATTTAAAAGATTATATCAACCTAGAAATGCTTGATTAGTCTCCTGTCATGTTGCAGTAATGCAGTTCATTGTTCTGCATTTCGGGAACCCTGTTCGCAGCTCTGATGTTTGTCTTAAATCCAAGCCGACTTTCCCTCAGTTCCCATGCGCCTTTACTGAGCATAACCCTTTATGGAGAAGGGGCGCGGGAGAGGGATGAGGATCATGCCGATGCTTAGGCCATGTAAATACTCCTCGTGACTCTTCCACTAACACACCTTGCGACCGGACCCGCTACTTACCTTCTCGGTACCTTGATTGTTTTCACGCTTTAGTTCTTATGCCAGAGTCAGCGAGAACAAAGAAAATGCATTGGAGAGAACATTAACAGTTCTGCTCATCGGGTGTTCTGCAAATGTAACCAATAGTCGTCTTCATCTTAGAGAACAGAAGTTGGCAGTTCTGAGCAAAGAAGGGCAGGATGCACTGCGAAATCTCCGTCAGGGTCTGGCCAGTGGATGCCTTTTTCTTCCTTCTTGCGGTCGTGGCTTCGGACCCCCTGTCCTACCATCAGTTTTTCGTCGTATGGGAAGGGTGATTCCAGAGGGTCTGATGAGCAGCAGTTCTGTGGAAGGAATGTACAGCCCTTTGTTTAAGTTTCTTCGTAGTCTATCTGGCATGGCCCTGTGTCTCCATTTGATAGCCTTCTGAATTTCTGCTCAATCTAATTCCTATTTTTAGTATTCATAGAATTGAAGATGAATTATTTGCTGGAGCTGATGGGAATATTATAGACCAAACTTTTGGGGGATGGCCAAGAATATTTATGATGGACTTTCCAGGATTTTGAAGATGGCTGAGGACCATAGTAGCAAATGTTTAGAATCTTAAGATGTTATGAAAAGAACCTCTGGAAATGATGTAGTCTAATTTTCTATGTGATAAGTAGATAAACTAAGGTCCACAGAAAGGAAAGTGAGCAACTTGCTCAGGGATATGCATTGACAGAGCCAGACAAAATCCAGGTCTCTCTATAATATTTCTTATAGAGCCCATATAAAAAATGAACAATTACACACATCTTAATTGCTGAGAGCAAGGTAAATTAATCTAAAAAAGGGGTTCTCACACCCATAGTATCTTTTTTGTAGCAAAAATATTTTGTAGTACTTCCTTATTATCCTGATGAGAAAATCATAGACATCTTATTAATAGAAAATTTCCAAAAAATAATTTATAATGACTTGATTGCAATAATAGGACAAATAAAATATGTAAATGTTGAGTCATGACTATACTAGGAAGTAAAGTCAGTGAGAACTCACTTTGAAGAAAATAGTTGAAGTTGTAGATTTAATTATGTTGTATTGTTGGAGTTAAATACCACAAATCACTGTCTGGGATGTGAACAACTCGTGGTAAACTTTTTAACAAAACAAAGTAATATCTTCCCTTTATTATATAGTTGCTGCATTCTAGGAAAGTTCTGTGTAAATTAAACATACAAAAAAGAGTTTTGTTTAAATGAAGTTGGGATCTGGACTCAGCGTACTATAACTAGGTTTTTCACGACGTTTGAAGGGTAGGTGGGGTCAGGACAAGCTGGTTATGTGGGACCGCCCTGCCTGTGTGAGACATCCAGCATTCTTGGCTCCACCCCCTTAATGTCAGTAGGTCCCACTGATTCTTGTGATCGACAGAAATACTCAGATTTTCAGAAAGCCGCCTGGTGGAGAGTTATACTCCCATTGAGCCCTGTTACCTTAGACCAATACCTGGCGTCTGGAAATGACCCATTCATATCGGTCACCTTAAACAAAGGCATTTTTATTTTGCTAACATAGGAGAAACTCACTTGGTGAGAATTGCTGAAGAAAGCTCTCAAGTGAGCCAGGAAGGCACATTTTTGTACAAATAAATGCAGGTCGTTTAACTTGTATCTAGACATTTTTAAAGATTCCAGTGGCATCATATGATTTATAGGAATTTTACAAATGCATGGAGTTTCCTATTGTCTCTGTCTAATAAGAAAAAGGTTTCTGTTTGGATTGGTTTTGCCTGTGGTGTTTGTGGTTTCCTAGATGAACTAGATAGAGCTTTTTGAGAGCAAGGGGAAATGTCTGTGTGAGTGTATTCATATATACTACTCTTAAATAACTGATTTCTAGATATCTGTTATTTGAGCTAGAAATGAGAATTCAAAAATTTCTCGTGTCTGTAAAAAGTTTGGGCAGCCAGCCTCATGCATTTCAAAAGATCACTAATTATTCTCCAATTTGTAGTATTTAAATATTTTGTAACCCAGATTGACACAGAAAGTACTGCATTACCATAGACCACTTCTTACCCCGCTCCCCACCAGTTATCTCTGTATTAACATCTTGCATCTGAATGCTGCATTTGTTACAATTGATGAACCAGGATGTCCTTTAGTAGGTAGACGGATAAACACTGGTATAATCATGCAGTGCAGTGTTCTTCAATGCTAAAAAGAAATGAGCCATCAAGTCAAGAAAAGACTTAGAAGAACCTTAAATGCATGTTACCAAGTGAAAGAAGCCAATCTGAAAAGATCCATACTGTATGATTCCGACCGTATGACATTTTGAAAAGGCAAAACAGTGGAGATGTGAAAAGATCGGAAGTTGCCAGGATTTAATTGGAGAGGGACGAATTACTGGAGCGCAGAGGATTTTTAAGGGAGTGAAACTACTCTGTATGGAGCCATAATGACGATACCCATCGTCATGCATTTGTCCAAACCCATAAAATGTGCAGTACCAAGGGTGAACTCTAATGTAGACTGCATAACGATGTGTCAGTATAGGTTTATCAGTTACAACAAATGTATCACTGATGTCAACAGTGCAGGAGGTTGTTGGTAAGTGGGGGCTGGGAGTATATGGGAAGTTACTATACTTCCTACTAATGGTTGCTTTCAATCTAAAACTGCTCTAAAAAATAACGTCTATTAAAAAAAAAAACCAGAGCTTTCTGAAATTAAAAGTTTTTAACAATCTAATAATTTCTAGACATCCTTAATTCTTTTTTGAATAATTAAGAACAATTATAAAGAAAGAAAAGTGATTTGGGGATGCTTTATTTAGCTTCCTTCTATTCTTTCTTTTGTCTCTTTCATTTATTTAAAAACACTTCTAACAGAGTTATTGTTCTTTAGCTTCATTTTCTGTATTGATATTTCGTGTGGAATATGCTATGATCGAAGTGAAATCTAACATAGTTTTATCTTTTTCATTTTTAGAGATTTAATTGATATGAGACTTCTTTTTCTTTAGTGCCTTAGCAAAACTTTTTTTGTTGTTGGCTTAGGAAAATGTGTATAGCGGTGATATTTATCCAGCGAGGGCTTGGGGTTGGTTGTATAATTCTTTAAGTCGCATGAGAGCCTACTTTCATTTAAGGTGTCAGTTATTTGATTCTAAATCGTTCTTGCTTCAATAAGTATTTGGGAAAGCCACAAATTCAAAGTCGATATTAGAGAAATGAATCTGGATCACAAAATTGGTGACTATACATTGCTAATGTGCTACGTGTTCAGACTTTTAGTTGCACAAAGTTACGTTTTAGGCATCATTTTTCTCATGCTTTCTGAAAAATCATCTGAGGTAGGGATATTTTTTAATTGGTATACAGGTCGATGGATTCTTACAGACACGAATTATATTTTTATTATTAGACATCAGGTAAAAAACATTTATCTGATGAAGTGTTACCAGATCACTTCTGTTTTGCCTCATGCCTTACCTAGCTATAGGTTTTCTCCTCATATTTATTTGTACCCCTCTTTCCGGTTGAAATGCATTTCCTTTTTTTCACTTCATCTTTCCCCATCAGTACCTGCATCTTTGAAGGGCTTTGGGCGGGGGGACCTTCGATATGCTCGATGTGTTTTGTGTGCAGTCCGTTCTCTCTTCTCTGCTCCTCATTCCTTCATCATTCTCAGCAAATTCGAGAACTCACTTCCATTCGTCTTTACTTTTGCCCCTTTTCCTTGAGGAAGTGGTCTCTCTTTTTGCTTTCAAGCTACTTTCTTTCTGTACCTGGACTCCGGATTCCATTGTTCCAACCTGCTCGGGCTCGTTCTATCAGCCACTTAGTCTCTCTCTCCCTGAATTTTCAGCCTCTCCCCAACCATGTCTATTGCCCTTTTTTTTTTTTTTTTTTGACATAAGGTTCAATTCAATCCCCTTTTGTAAATAAAGCAACAACAAAAACAAAGTCCCATTCTCCCTGGCTTCTGTTCGAGCTGTCTTCTTTCCATCACGGCTCAGCCCGGCACTAGTCGCAGTGCTCGTGGTAGTTCCTGCTGTGTGTTTACCCCACGCGCCCTGGAGTCTGGCTGCTCTGACCGCCCCCGGTCAGTAAGGCTCCCTGTCGGATCCTTCTTCCGTCATAGACAGCGTTGCCCTTTGACCCCACTGCTTCCTCTTTCCTACAGTCGCTTCTGCTTAGGCTTCTGTTCACTTTTCTTGCCTTCGTCTTTGCCATTCATTTTCGTCTCTTCTGTGTGGCTGATGTTCTTTGGCTTGTTCCTTAGATGTCGCTGTCCCCCAGGGCGCTACTCTTGTCACTCGCAGAGAATCTTTTAATACTAGTAACTGCGGTTCTCCTGACTAGTCTGCCTGCTCTCAGTCCAGTCCATTTCCAATTCATCGTTCATCATTCCGTACATACTTACTAAGTATTCTTTCTGGAGTGTACATCTGTGACATTCTGCAGTGGAAAATCCTTTCGTAGTTTTGCATTTCAAGATAAACCGCACTTTCCTTAGCTCAGCAAAAACAATATCCTTCGTTATCTGGCCCCTCCCAACCACTCAGGCCGTGTTTCTCATTGCTCCATTTCGTACCTCCTTTTCAGTCTTGCGGAGCTGGTTGTACTTTGATGACACATTGCGCATCTGCCCGCCGCACTGTCCCCTGCCCTTCTCCCTTCTTCACCTGCCATTTCGTATGATTCTCTAAAGCTCATTCTAAGTTTTCTCCCCTCTGGGTGACTTTGTGACACTTGCGGATTGGGCTACGAACCCCCTTCTTAGAGATCACCCTCATCCTCGTTCACTCTACTTCAGTCATTGTTTTCCTGCATTGTGTTTCCTAGAGAATGGAGAGATCTTCGAAGGAGAGACCTCCTCTTATTCGGTTTTATATTCCTGACGGCTGGAATGGTGCTTAGCTCGTAGTAGGTCCTCAATTAATGTTAGTCTAGGAGTGTGGGAGTAAGTGAGGAGTAGTGAGAGGCACTACAGGTTTAGGCCACATTAGGTAATTTTGCTGTCAATCAGAATATGTCATTTCTTAAACCTAATTAAGTGATAGTCAAATTGCTGTTTACTGAGCTTTTATAGGAAAAGCATTCATTTTTGTCTAAGTGGAGTTTAAATATTTGAACTGGGACAGAGAAAATGTCTTTCAGAGTCAGTCATTCAGCAAGTATTTGTCGGATGCCTTCCATATGGGGGCACTGAGGAAGATAAGGACTGAAGAAGAATATAAAAGCAAACATTGTTTTTGGAGCAAATGTTATGGTGAAAATAGGAGTAATTTGGCATCAACATTAACAGCTATGCTGTTTTCCCTGCCTGTTAATGTCATCAGAATTAAGCAGAGACTATATGTAAAACTGCTCTGTAAACTGTAAGGCTCTATGTATTTAAGATGGTTGTTTTTCTCTTTTATCTTTACCTTTAGAATTTCTTGCTGTTCGTTTGAGTCCTTTGAAACAGTTTGATGCTGATACATTTAATAAGGAGTTTTGTACTAAATAAAAAAAAAGTTACTGTTATTGTGGATTTTCTAGAAATTGATTGCAAGAATTAGATTCTCTACAGGAAGCTCTGAGGATACATTGGGGAGATCCAGCACTTGAGACTCACGATGGCTTCCCATTTCAGGTCGACTGCGCACTGTCACTCGTTCGACTTGGGATGGAGCGGAACGTCCCTGACTTGCTGGTTCTGTGTGATAATTTGGTCACCCTGGAAGCATTGGTTTATGAAGCCGGGTGCGATTTAACCTTAACCTTGAAAGAACTTCAGCAGATGAAAGACATCGAAAAACTAAGATTACTAATGAACACTGTAAGTTTTATTTTAACTTTCTTTTTAAACATTCTCTGTGTACTTTGATTATTGTGTGTCTCAAAGTCAAAGATTTAATGTCCTCCAAACCCGAGAATTTAGTAAATAAAGGAAGGTTTCTTGACTTTTTTTTTTTTAAACTAAATTTTATGAATAAAAAATTACCGAAGGCATCCAAAACTATTTTGGCTGTTTTTATACCTTGCTTGCCCGTTATTCATACTTATCGATATATAGCCCCCAATCCCTAATTCTAGGGTAGGCATGTTTACAAACCAGCTGTCATTCTAGTATTCATGTTTCTAATCTTCACTGTGTGAAAATTCACAACTACTTATATATTTCAAGGTCTTAAAAAAAAAAAGTACTGGAGTTCAGAGGGCTGGATGGTCATGTGAAGGAAACATCTTGGCTTCAGGGTTAGTAAGCTTAGGAGAACTTGCTTAGCCATTCCTAGGTTTTTCTTGGGTCACCTTGGGGAGAAAGTGTACCCTCAAAGCTAGGCTCTGGTTTCTACCAACTCCACTAAGCCGAGAGACGCGCCTTTCACTCAAGGACGATGGGGCCTGGAGGTGCTCGCTGCCAAACCAGCCTTTTCTCATCTCTGCTCTTTGGGAGCCTGGCTGAATGGCTGAGGATGAGGGTGGGGTCACAGCTGTCATGGAGATTTCGTTTCTCCCTTGACTCTTATTTTCCTCTCTCTGTGCTTTCTTTTAATCGTCCTTTCTCATCCCTTTCATCATCTTTCTCCCTCTTACCGGTCCCCTTTTCTCTCTCCCTCTGTCTTTACCTTTCTTTTCTCTATTTAATTTCGTTTCCTGATAATCCAGTGACAGTTGATTTGTGTTATATGTAAGGCTCCTCTTAAGAGATGTAGATGTGTCTCCTGGGGTCACTCAGGGAAGGTATTGTTTATATCAGGGATAATAAGTAGAATTATGTGTGTCATTTAGAGTTTTGTGAAGCTGAGTATAAAGGGGCAAAACAAAACAGGAGGAGGAGGAAAAGGAAGGGAGAGAATCTGGGATTTTATAGATGACACTGGTCTCAAGCGGCTCCTTTCTAGAGCTTCTCTATGCTTATTATCTACACACACACTTTTGGGGTAGGACCTCTCTTTGCTCTGGAAGACCTCCTGACTTGGTAGTGGAGTGATTTCCAGAGCTGGCCTTAGGCGGCGAGGGACCCGGAGCCATCCCTGGGGGAAACTGAACAGACAGGCTGTGGTGCTGTCGCTGCTGGCTGCCTAACAAGGACACTGTGTCCTTTTTAGAAAGCCTTGGGCTTTAAAAACCGTTGACCTCAGTCTGATGGTGAGTTTTAGAACTTGTCTGGTATAATCAGATATTTATTATTATTTTGTTTGGTTAATTATATTTTCAGTGTTCCGAGGACAAGTACGTGACAAGTGCCTACCAATGGATGGTTCCCTTTCTTCACCGCTGTGAGAAACAGTCTCCTGGTGTGGCTAAGGAGCTATTAAAAGAATATTTAGTAACTTTAGCCAAAGGGGACTTAAAACTTCCCCTGAAGATATTTCAGCATTCCAAACCAGATGTAAGTAGAAACTCTAATATCTTAAAAAACATCTGTACTTTTCCCCCTACAGAATTAGGTTCTGTTGATTAATTTTTTTAAAAAATCCTTTAATATCACCACAAATTTCATTTTTTTTTTTTTTAATAATAGGCTTTGCAAGTAATTTTCCTTTAAACAGAAAAAGAAATGGTTGTCATTCTTTAAAAATGTTTCAACAGTTGACTCCAAAATATTTTTTTGGAATTTCATAAGCTTATGTTTATTTTAACTGATTTACTCCACAGTTTGTTGACTATTGTATTTTGGAAACCGGCTATACCAAAAAGATGAACAATTGATAGGTATTGAATTCTCACTATTAGAAGGTGCTATACAAGTGTTAACTCATTTAATCCTTATAACAATCCTATGAGGTAGATATTTTTATTAATATTACAGGAAAAGAAAATTGTGATACAGAGTTGTTTTGCAGTTGCCCAGGGTCACATACTAAGGAGCGGAACTTGGGTTCAGACATTCTAATGTCACAGCTATGTTCTTAACCATCATGTTTTGCTGTAATACCAATAGAAGAAAAAAGATTTGTGCCCTTGACTACCTTCAGATTATTTATGAAAATCTTTAGGATCTCATTAGGAGATCTTATAATTATTCTTAATAACTCTTATATTTGCTTAAGACACCTGTATTTATCTCTCTGTACTTCTATAAGGTTCAGATAGTTGTTCAGCATACTTCTGCAAAGTAACCCCTTAATTTAGCCATAGATTGAATAGTAGTTCCGCTTCCGCTGGTGGTGGCTCAAATAGTTGATTGAGGTGCAGAATTTTGTAGTGAGATTCAAGCATTCGATTGGAAGTGGCCTTCAATGACTTCTGCTTGAATCCCAGTCTCGAAATCTAACTAAGTATACTTCCTTGCGCTGGGTTTTGTTAGCTCTCTGCAGTCCACTGAGGTACATGGTCCTAGACCAGTATAATCCAGCTGAAAAGGAAAGCATTGCTTAGTTAACCTTACCTATTTTTGGGTTTCTGGAAGGTTTGTCTGTGAGAAATATACCTGTTCATTGACTGTTTAAAATTTCCCATCTTCTTATACGCAGTTTCCACTTCGTATTCTGGTTTTAAATTGAGGGTGGTTTACTATGAGCTGAGGGTGGGTTGCTTTTGAAAGCAAAATACTGTGTGAGAAGCAGGATGGATTGGATATGAATGTTTTATGAGGAAGAGAGAAGTGACTTAAAATTTTTGTCAGTAATCTTGTTCTTGATACTTCTTCCTTACAGAGTCTTGTAAATCCTTTATATATAGTCAGTTTTTTGTTGTTGTTTTACTTGACAATTTAACATGTTCCTTTTAAATAAAACATAGGGCCATTTGCCTTCGTGGAAATGTATAAATATCAAAGCAGAGAACGGTGGTGTGGCTGGGCTCTTCCCTTCTAATCCAACCTCTATATTTCTATCAATGTTGTCTTTCTACCTCACAAATCTGATCATGCCATGATCCTTGGGAAGCCTCGAGGGGCTTGCACTGCCTGCAGGGCGAACATCGGCCTCTCTCAGTGGTGTGGGAGGTTCTTTGCCTTCTGCTTCTAGTCTGCCTCTTCGGCCTCATCTCCCTCCATGAATGCAGTGGTTCACTCACTCTGAAGTCCTCACCTGTCAGGTTCTTCACGCCTGTTTGTGTCCTTATAGGCTGTTTCCTTTGGGATCGTTGGCCCCCTTTCCTGCATTTAAAAATCCCTGCCTATCTTTCACGATCCTGCTCTCTAAGATTCCCTCAGCTGTGAAACGTCCCATGACCTATCTGTGCTGTGACAGGTCTTGTACCTGTCTCTGTAATAACTCATGTCACACTGATTATTTGTTCACATGTCTGTCTGTCTCTCCCTTTGTTTCTCATGTACACCCTCTATGTCTCATGTATTTCTTTATTACTGGGGACTAAATTTTGGCAGGGTGAATGAATGAATGAATGATTGAAATTGGGTTTTATTATGATGTTTCAGATCATTTGATTACATTTGTTTGCTTTAGTAGTGTCGTGCTTATTCTTATTTCACCTGTCTACAAAAAGAATGTACCTTGGATCTGCCATGAATCATACATGAAGTATTTTTCAGTAATATAACAGGAACAATGGTTTCTGTATCAGACAGCCTAGGCGAAGTTATGCTGCATTAACAAATGACCTCTAAATCTTAGTAGCTTACAACAGCAAATATTCATTTCTCACAAGTGTCATATAGGCTGTGGTTGGGGTTCTGTTGTTCCATGTCTTACTCATTCCAGGACTCAAGCTGAAAGAGCAGTCCCAAGAAAAAGAACAAAGTAGAACCACATGTGGCTCTTAAAGCTTTAGCTCGAAGTGATTCAGGTTACTTCCTTTCACAGGCCAAAGGAAGTATATGGCTGAGCCTGATGTTAGCAGAGCAAGGAAGAATAATCTTATTAGGACGAAGCGGGTAAATAATTGAGAACAAGAATACAAATACAAAGTTGTGGTTTTTTTTGGCATTCTCATGTCTTTTATAACATCCTAAAGCACTCATCTCTGGTTTTAAGTCTTTGCTCTTTGCTCAGATCCACCTTTGGAAAGTGAAACTTGTGAAGAAACTTGGACAAGTCTGGATAGAGATGAGTTAGGAATAAAATATTCTTCCTTCTTATATTGTTCTGTCTTCTCTACTAGTATTTTTTTTTAATGCATCTGTGCATCACATTGTGGATTTTTAAAAATAAAATATGGTTTCTGGGCCATATAAAACGAATTCGTGTTTGAGGAGTATGTGTTTGGGGAGTATGTAATGTGCATTTGACAATTTATCCGGTGATTCTGATGGAAAGTCAGGATTAGGAACAACTGCTTTAAATGTCCATTTCTTCTTTTAACGAATGAGAATTCACTACATATTATGATTTCTTACGCAATCTTTTTCTGATTATATAATTCAACAGCAATTTTAGCTTTTAAATTACTTTTTCTAACTTAATGCTTATTCTAGAATATTTATAAAACTCAGAAAAACATAAAGATAGAAATATCATTGACTAGATGATCTGAAAACCTTTCTGCTCCAAAATATCTAGATGTGTTCATTCGATTATTTTTTTAAAAATCTGGTTAATTGCCTAGCCGAGCTTATAGGAAAGCAAAGCAAATCTCTACAGGCCAAGTAAAGAGGAAGGTAGAAGTCTAAGAAATACTCACGAGAAGGAGACAGTGGCTGAGTGGGGTGGGGGTTACAGTGCTGAAAGCCTCTGTAGGAGTGAATTTCAGTACTTCCTTGAGGAAGAAGATGAAGTCTTTTAAAAAGTGGTGAGTTAGAAGTGAGACTTCTTCATAATGTCATGGCTCTTTAACAGTCGCATTTCTCTAATTACGAGTGAATTTGAACTTTTTCTCATATATATAAGAGATATTTTCTCTTTTTTGGTGCATTATTCATTCCTGTGTTTTCCCCATTTTTCACTTGGATTTTTGTTCCTTTTGTGCCTTAATTTTTTAAAAAACCCATATGTATTAGTATAGTTAGCCCTTTTTTTGTGGTATATATTGTGAATATTTCTCCCAGTTAGTAGGTTGTCTTTGTTTACGGTGAATTATGTCATGCAAAATCATCTTTTTATTTTTGTCTAGTCCAATCAATCTTTTACTGCCTTCATATTCAGAGTCAATAAGAGGAAGCCTTTTCTACTCCAAGGTTAAAGAAGAATTCACTCCTGTTTCCTTCTAGTACTTGTATGGTTTTGTTTTTATATTTAGATTCTCAATCTATTTGGAGTTTATTCTTTTGTGTGGTGAGGGGTATAGATCTCATTTTATGTTTTCCCAGATGGCCACCTAATTGCTCCAGCACCATTTATTAAAAAATGTGTCTTTACCTGAGTGATTTGAGATTTGTGGTATACAGAATTTCTATTTATTTGTGGCTCTAATTCTGGAGTCCTTTGTTGTTCCACTGGTCCCTTTGTCCACGCACTAGTGCCACACTGTTTTAATATAGAGATTTTATAGTTTTTAAGTCTGGTAAGGGAAGTATTTCTTTGTAGATTTTTTCTCTAGTTCTTTTTTTTTTTTGGCTGTTCTTTTATGTTTTTTTTTTTATGTTTGAACTTTGATATCAGCTTGTCTAGTTCCACAAAATAACTAGTTGGTATTTTTTATTGTGATTATATCGTATTTATAAATTAACTTAATGAGACCAATATCTTTATGATGTCCAGTCACCTGTTCAAGAAGAGGCGATATCAAAATATTTGTTCATGTCTTTCTGAGTGTCTTTCAGGAGTGTTTAAATTTTTTCCTCGTATAGGTTTTGCACATTTCTCATTAAATTTATTACTAAGCATTTAATTTTGTTTCTGTTATAAATGGAATTTCCTCTATCCTCATTTTCTCTGTTTATTGTTTGTGTATATGAAATCTGTTGATTTCGTATGTTAATTCTGTATCCTGAACTTCACTAACTTTTTGATTGCTTGATTTCCTTGGGGTTTTCCAGTATCCTATCTTATTGTTCTTTTCCTAGTTGTCTATAGTGCATAATGTTAAGACTTTTAAAAAACCTTTACATTTCATCTTGCTATGCAGTATGAAAAATAATGTGCTATTCATGGTGGGGAAGACTTATTTCATTGACTTCTTAGAAAGTCCTTGATGGGCTTTCTTCCATTATCTCGAGGTGGGGCTAGTGATGGTTTAATAGTCACACTAAGATGCTAGGACAAGAACGATGGAAATAAGGGGAAGTGTGTTTTCCTATAGTGTACGAAGTTAAGTTACATCTCGTAGGGAGTCTAACAGGGCAGGAATGAAAATATCTTAAAAATTTGAGCATTATGATTCACGTACTAAGTAGATTGTATTGAGATAAATACACTGAATGGCATAGAAAGAGAACAAAAAAAATCAAAGGGATACACAGAAGAAAAAGGACTTATGCATGATGGTAGTAAGAGGATTTAGTCTTTGGGCTGGCATTTACTGAGCATAGGTGAGAGACTGTAGAAATCTGAGAAAGTCCAACTGAAGTCAAGTCCAAGTGGAGATGAAACTGGATTGTTAGGGAGGTTTAAATAGGGCCGGATGAAGTTCTTGAGAAGACATTCCAGGTAGGATTAGAATAAGACAGGGAGACATAGCCTGACTACTGCCATGTTTAGATAAAGGCAAGGCTAAAGAGTTTATTCTTTACCTTTCACATGAAGGACAACTGCAGGGTTTTCCACAGATTTTGAACATACATGATCAGATGTGGACTCTAGAACGTTTAACTTCCAAGTGACACTTTAATGTCTCAGAGAAGGAAAGACAGGAAGCAAGATGGTGGAGGAAAAGAACAAAGACTTTGGCTTCAGTTTCAGCTGGTGTCCCAAATTGTTCCTTGACCGAAACTGGTTTCAGTTTTTTTGTCTTCCCGGGACACTCTCTTACCATATGAGGTCTTTATTACCAGGTTCTCCCTCAGTCTCTTCCATTCGTCCTGTACGTGAAGTTCTTCTGAAGGATTGTGAGAGCCGGTGTTGGTTTGGTGTAGGCTCTGACTCCTGGCTTGATGGTGATCAGATCTTTCTGTGCCTTGAGCAGGTTATTGTTCTCCCTGTATAGTTTCCCCTCTATGTAAAATAGAAATAGGACTCGTACTAACCTTACAGGATCGTTTTGAGGATTTATGAACTAATATATGTAAAGAACTTAGAAACCGTACCTGGCACATAGTAAAAAATTAGGAAAAGTTAGCTATTTTAATTAATTTTTAATACTTTTATTACCTGCTTGTCCTTGTTTCACCAGTTTGCAGCCTTGGATAACTTTTTGTCCAGTGTTGATGTCAAATTAATGGGTTTTTTTTATTTTCTTAACACCTTGAAGTAGGGTATGTAATCCTTTAACTCAACTGCTTTAAAAAAAACTTTATTTCTCCAGTAGCCTTGAATGTTTCTTCTTCCCATTCAATGATGTGATTTTTTTTACTGAGAAAAGGCCTTCATTTGGCAGTTTCCCTCCATCACTTTCTTATGTTTCATATTTCTATTAAAACATTGAAAACCACTAGATCTTTATTATAGAAATTACCTTAAACTTATTTTGTTGTTGAAAAGGGCTCTGATGAGATAGTTTGAAACTTCCATTTTGGCTTCGGTGGTGTTAATAATATAAGCATTCTACATGTATTAATTTATTTAATCCACACAACAATGCTCTTAGGATGTCATTAATATCCCCATATCATAGATGAGAAAACCAAGGTATAAATCTGTTATTTTTATATCCCAGAAAATACTAAGAATGGGAATCTGTGGTTGGCAATGGGAAGTCTTGTATCCTATATTGAAAAGTGACCCAAAGTAGCCATTTTTCCGCATCAGAATATGGAGTGTGTTCTGGGATTCAAATATTACTGCATTACAATGCGACTTCTTTCAAATAGAATGTACGGTTTAGTTAAATGACTAATATATTATGCATATTAAAAAATAGTAACTTCTAATATCTCTGAATATTAGTTAAGGAATTTTATATATTTTTGTAATTGAAACACATAAAATTTGGCTTTAAGGTTAAATATGTTGTTTTTAATGAATTGCCTTTTTAATTCACTGTGTTCTGTCTTGAATGGGTCATAAATTGAAGAATCTGCTTTTAGCAGATGTGAAGCTTATGGGTACAAATTATCTTTTCTAGCTGATTCTGTAATTAAAATGTGATTTCATTTAGAATTATTAAAGATCCCAAAAGTCTGTAAGCTAAAGAAAAATCAAGATTTGTTTCTGCAGCTGATTAATTGCACTATTTAATATTCTGTTGACAGTGGTACTGAGATATAAAAAAAGTGACTGTAAATCTATTGACATTTAGTACATTGTGCTTTATTTTCTCTAGCTGCAGAAGAAAATTATTCCTGATCAGGACCAACTGATGGCAGTAGCATTAGAATGCATCTATAACTGTGAACGAAGCGATCAGCTTTCGCTTTGCTATGACATATTAGAATGTCTACCACAAAGAGGTTATGGGTAAGAATCCGCAGGGTGCCAGTCTTGTTGTGTCTTTTTATTCTAACAGTTAAAATGAAAATGTTTCTGCTCTGAATGTTCATTATAGAGAATTTGGGAATATAAAAATTTATAAAGAAAATGAAATCATCTGCAAATCTGTTGCCTAGAGATAAACTTTTGTTTTTCTAGCAGTGTATGGAAAGTCCTTATAATTTTGTCAACCTTGATAATTCATTATCCATTAAAAAACAAAAATACCACTACCACCCAACCAAAAATACTTTTTGAAGTGTATGTGTTTAAGCTGTGTTTCTGTTTAAGGATTTTCCATATTTGTGAGCTAGTTGTATTTCTTCTATGAATTGTTTGTTCTTGGGCTTTGCCTATAGTAATCCCTTTAAGTAGTGACATATGAATATATAGAATTTATTTTTTTCTTTCACTTTTATTGAGATATAACTAACATACAGCACCATATAAGTTTAAGGTGTACAGTATAATGAGTTGACTTACATATATTGTGGAATGATTACCACAATAAATTCAGTTAACATCCATTGTCTCATAGATACAAAACAAAGAAAGCGAACGTTGTTTTCCTTGTGATGAGATCTTTTAGGATTTCCTCTCTGAGCCATTTTCAAATATGACGTACAGCAGTGTCAGCTACACTCGTCATGCCGTGCATCACATCCCTGATACCTAGTCCGTATTTGTCTTATAACTGGAAGTTTTTACTTTTGACTACATTTTGATCTTTTTCTATCAGTTTGGTGGTGTTTTTGTTTGTTTTTTGTTTTTTGTTTTTTGTTTTTTTTTAGATTCTACATATGAGATCACACAGTATTTGTCTTTTTCTCTGACTTATTTCACTTAGCATAGTGCCCTCAAGGTCCATCCATGTTGTAAATGGCAGGATTCTTTTTTTTTTTTTTTTAAGGCTGAATAATAGTATTCCATTATGATAGATCTTATTTTCTTTGTCCATTCATCTTCTAATGGAGACTTAGGTTGTTTCTATGTCTACTATAAATAATGCTGCTGTGAACATGGTGGTGTAGATATCTCTTTGACACAGTGGTTTTATTTCCTTCGGATCTATACCCAGAAGTGGAATTGCTGGGTATTGTAGTGGATGCAGAGAGAATGAGGACGAGAAGAGGTCCCCCAATTATGTAGAATCCTAATGGAAACTTCCTAGGGGGGTCACAGGTGGTGTAGACAGGCCTAGGAGAAAGCCAGCATGCAGGGCCATGCGTCTTATCTGTTTTATTGGTTAAAAGAACAGAAATAAATGATAGTTTTCCCCTTATCCTTATTAAAAAAATATATAGTTAATTTATAATTCTTTTTTTTGCCTTTTAGCAGAACTGAACTGAAAGTTCTTTAGAAAATTGTTACCCATCTCTTGCTAATCTATAATGGACAGTATTGTTCTACTTCAGTATTTTTTATCTTAATCTCTTGAGACATGAAAGATGCTGAATGAATTCAGGAGATAAGGCTGAATTTTTACCTGGACAGTGTAAGGTTGTTATATATTAAGTACAAAGGGAACATCATTTCTTTTTTTTTTTTTTTTCACTTGAGTTTTGAGTTTTATTTAAAAAGCTACTACTAAAATATAATTAAATTTTTTTTCCTCTGAATCCTTTAGCGATAAGACAGAGATTACCACAACTCTTCATGACATGGTAGACCAACTGGAACAAATTCTCAGGTGAGAATAATGACCATCTGTAGCTCTATGCTGATTAAGGAGGCCTGTCCAAGAAATACCACTTTAAATATGCCTACTGGTCATTTCCAGTTTGACCTTATACATGTTTGGCTTCCTTGGGAGTGAATTTTCTTAATAACAAATGTACCACTAGCTTATGTTACAAACTGCAAGAGGAAGAAGAACATGGACTTTGAAAACTGGCAAGCTGTGTTCAAATCTGGGTGTCGCTACTTACTAGCTGTGTGATATTTGAGCCTAGCGTGTTCATATCTCTAATATCTAACTCATGAGATTGTGTAGTTAACATTAGATTAAGCATTTAAAGTGCTTTACATATAGTAGGTATTCAAGAAATGTTAGTTCTTGCAGTAATTATTGCATCTATTAGCAAACAATTATTATACTTCTAACTTTTCTTTTTCGGATGGTACGTTTGAATATTTGGATTATAGCAAACTGTACTAGAACCTTCAAATAACTTTGTAGTGATATTCTTTTACTGTCAAATGAAAAATTAAGCTGTCTTTTTTAGAGACTGAGATTTCCCAATTTGCCATTTAAGAAGCCTAATACTGTTTACTGGTATTTATTTTTCTATGTGTACATCATTGTGCTTGTGTGTAATTTTAAAATATATGTATAAAATTATAATTTTAGGAATAATAAACTTGGTCCTTCCAATATGTAATTATAGAAATTGAAGGTAGTAACATCACTTTGTCATGGTAATATGTATAATAAAGTATAATAATTTGTAATCTATTAATTAGAAATTTTATTCATTCAAATTAAAGGACTTTAAAGATATTTTGAGTTGTATTTAAGGAAACATGTTTTCTTGAATCATAATATGTGAGTTTAATGAAGAATTAACTGTTCAGTTTCCTCAGGACCTTTATTTATTGTTACTTAGCCTGACTCTTGTTATTCTAAGTTCTGAAAGTTATACAATTTTTTTCTAGGAAAGTGTTTAACAAATCAAGCATCTCCTATTATAGGTTGACTTGTGTCTCTCCTTTCTGTAGCCTCCATGAAAAACAGCATGATTTGACTAAGGCTTACTGGGTTAAGCCAATATAGAGTTAATCCTTACAAATCTGCATTGCTACCTTTGTTTCTCTAATAAAATTGCAAAGAACAATTTTATTTTTCTCTAATAAAATCAAAGATACAGTGAAGTAAACACAATTTATTTTACCATCCGTTCCTGGCTGTACGTGTGGGTGACCCTCATGGTCACATGGTGCTCTCAGCACCTCTAGGAAGTGTGACATCGTTTAGACATCTGGATGACACCCAGGTCTTTCACTGCTGAGCTTAATTACTGACCTTTTAAAAATAAGAACTTTTTATTCCTGTTCCACCTCATAACTCGTAAGAGTTGGTAAGTGTTTTAACATCACGTTGGGTGACATGACCCATGAAACCTATCTTTACGAAGAGTTATTGAATTCTATCCAGCCTGCCTGTAATCCTGGTGGTAGTTAATTCATAAACGTGAGAGTTGGCGAGACAGCCCCAGTATTTATATGATGCTGATGATTATGAAATGGGATATCTCAAGAAGATTCACATGAGACCAAGAACGTTTGTGACATATCTTGTATTTTTGTAGTATGGATTCTTGAGAGAGATTGAGCCTTATGATATTTCCGTGATTCTCCAACTATAAAATTTTTTGTTTATTGCTTTTCTAGCAGCCTTGCCCATAACAAAATACTCAGTAGGATTGTTAAGAGTTAAAGCTGGGTATTGAAATGATAGATTTGCTTATTTTACTGACTCGATACTTTTAGACTACAGAGAATTGTACTAAAAGATTTTGACAAAAGGATATGTCATACATTTTTTTAAGAATGTATTCTTCCAAGTATATAGTAATAAAAGTCAGTAAGGGAAATAAGATTTGATATATAATTATTAGCTTTTTTTTTTTTTTTGGCTGAGAATTAATGTAATATGAAAAATTGGGTCATTCCATGTGCTTTTTTTTAAACTACCTAAGTGCTATTTGTATATTTAAGATTTTTAGACTTTTTTTTTGTTTGGTAGCACGTCTTTAAAAAAAATTCTTCTTTTACGTACAGTGTGTCAGAGCTCTTGGAGAAACATGGCCTTGAGAAACCAATTTCATTTGTTAAAAACACTCAGTCTAGCTCAGAAGAGGCGCAGAAGCTGATGGTTAGATTGACCAGGCACACCGGACGGAAGTGAGTCAAAAAATTAATTGATGCTTGTATATGATTAAAAATAAGTACTGCGCTTTTTCTTTTTTTGACTTCATTGACCTACCATAAATTGCACATATTTAAAATGTACAATTTGAAAAGTTTTGATATGTGTATAGACTCATGAAACCACTGCATTCAAGATAATAAGCTTATCCATAATTCCTAAAAGTTTTCTCTTGCCCCTTTATAATTCTTTCCTGACTGTTTCTCCCCACCACACTCCCACTGCATCTCCAGGCTACCCCTGACCTAATTTTATGTAAAAGAAATCATGCAGTACACACCTTTTTCTGTTTGTTTGTTTTTGTTTTTGTTTTTGGTTTGACTTCTTTTATTCAGCATAATTATTTTGTGATCCATCCATGTTATATCATGGATCAATAACTGATTTCATTTTATTTGCCGATTAGTATTCTACTGTATGGATTTATCAAGTTTTGTTTATTCACCTGTTGATGGACTTTAGGGTTGTTTTGAGTTTGGGCTTTCTCATGTACCAGTCTTTATGGGGACATGTACTTTTATTTCTTTTGAATGAATCCAGAAGAGTGGAATGGAAGGGTCATATGATAGGTGGATGGTTAATTTTAAAAAACTGTCAAACTGTCTTCCATAGTATTTGTATCATTTTATTTTCTAACCAATCTTGTAGGAAGGTTCCAGTTGCTCCATATCCTGGTATGGTCACTTGGAATGGTCAATCTTTTTAACTTTAGCTATTCTAATAGGTATGTAGTGGTACCTAATTTTGGTTTTAATTTCTTTCTTTAATGAGTAATAATGAACATCTTTTTATGTGCTATTTGCCATTTATATATCTTTTTTGATCATTTAAAAAAATTGTTTTTTTCTTATCGATTTTGAGAATTTTCTTATATATTCAGGTTACAAGTTCTTTATAAGATATGCTTCGCAGAAATTTTCTCCTGTCTGCCTTATGTTTTGATTCCCTCGTATCTTTTCAAGAGCATACTTTATTAATTTTGACAAAGTCCAATTTATTGATTTTTTTCTTTTTTGATTGTGCTTTTGACATCATATTAAGAAATTTTGCCATCATAGTAAGAAAAAAGATTTTCTCTCATTTCTAGTAAAATTTTATAATTTTGTACATTTATAATAAGTCTTAAAACTAGATAAAATTAGTTTCCCAACTTTGTTTTTCAAAGTTGTTTTGTTTATTTTAGGGCTTTTGTCTTTTCATATGATTTTTGGAAGCAGCTTGTCATTTTTTTGCAAAAATGTCTTTTGGATTTTTGATAGGGATTATGTTGAATCTATAGATCAATTTGGAGAGTATTGCTGTCTTAAACAATAGTAAGTCTTCCAATCAATGAACACAGGCTATCTTTTCATTTACTTAGCTCTTTAATTTCTTTCAATGCTCTTTGTAGTTTCCAGTGTACACATTTTGTAATTATTTTAAGGTTATTCCTAAGTATTTTATTCTTTTTGGTGTTATTATAAATGGGATTGTTTTCTTCATTTCATTTTCAGATTCTTCATTCCTAGAGTATAGAAATACAATTGATATTTAATATAATGATCTCATATCTTCCACTTTAGCTGGACTCATTTATTAGCTCCAAAGTGTTTTTTGCAGATTTCATTGGATTTTATGTATACAAGATCATGTTATCTGCGAATAAAGACAGCTTTACTTCTTTCTTTCCAATGCTATGCCTTTTATTTCTTTTCCTTTTCCTTTTTATTGATGTTAGCATGATTTATTTTTTGGTATACAGCATAATCCATAGCTCTTCACTGTTAGAGTGCTATATCTTTTACTTCTAATTAATTTGTGTTTTGTATTTGAAGTGCATTTCTTGTAGGCAGCATGTAAGTTGGGCCTTTCTGTCGAGATCTGATTTAGAGAGAGCCAGGCTGCCAGGGGATGCGTAGTTACGCTGGGGTCCAATGGGAGTTACTACCCATCAGACTTGCCTTCAGGCAGTAATAGCCATGCTATGGTAGATGAATAAACCTACATCTCCCAGATGACTCCTCATTACTGAGCCTCAAATGGACAGTGGTAAATTGCTTATGTAATGTAACCAGTATTGGCTTCCACAAAGAACTCTTCTTCCTAAGAAATCTCTGTTTTGGTACCTACCTCTCTTCCTGTCTTTGTCTCTTTCAACAGTGTATTATAGTTATTGACGTATTGCTGTATGTTCCCTTCTAGACCATAAACTTCTCTAGGGCAACTGTTATAGTCACCATACATGTAATATGGAGCCTTACATAGCAGTGGCCTTCTCTTAGGACTTAGCAAATGAGTAATTTAGAACATTTTGACAACTTAAGACTTAAGATTTCTTTACAACTGTAAATGAATTGTTGATATTTTTGATCATGCTGACTCTACTGTAGAACCTTCTCTTCAGTTAGAAAGCCTTGCTGTTGCTGCTTGATCGGCTACCATCATCCATTGAGTCCCTCAGATACTTCTGATGTCCTTGAAGTCAATTTCTGCTCATGGTGTTCTTACCGTAAATATGTAAGAGAATGGCTTTTTTTCAAAGTAGTCAGTGTGAAATGAATCTTAATTATTTCATGTATGCTACAGTAGGTTTGCCTTCAGTCCTATAGACTATTATGCATATTCTAAATGGTGGCCAATTTCATCAAATCTGTCATGAGTCGTTTTACCATCTTGAGTGCAATACTATTTCTTCCTGGAAAATATACTTTCATTCCAAAACTATAACTAATAAATAATGTTTGTAATCAGAGCTCTCTTTGTTAACTTGCAAACCTCTTGTATAGTGCCTTCAAGTTCTACTCTTGGTTTTTACTTAACTCAATGTATTCTGAAAAGGCCATTGTAAACGTCTTATAATTTATTTTAATTAGAACCTGTACTTACTGCTAGCCATGTGTTAGAAAACAATAATACCATCTGTCCTGGTGTTGATGGCTTCCAGAAGAACAGCTGGGCCATGAGGATTTGAATTCAGCTAGACAGTTCCTAGGTATGATTTTATCTAGCAGGTGCAAGATGGACACTCATTTCATCAAATATTTTGCCATGTCTCTGTAAGCCAAATCGGAAAGAGCTCTCTAATTCTTTGAAGCCCACCCAAAGAGTTCACATACCAGAATCTAACTAATGAAAACATTTCAGAGATTATCCTGGAAGTCTTGCAGATATATCAGTTTGTTTTATGTATTTGTATGCTGGAAAAAAAAAATGTGTTCTTTAATGCTTTATTGCATATGAGATGGAAGTAATTATTCATTTTGTGTAATAAATATAAAATGCTATAAGCAAATGAAGCACATGCATATTAAAAATTTTAGGTGAAAAATTCTTGAAGACTAGAATTCTTATAGAAATGATCCCAAATATACACTTATTCCATAGCAGTGTTATTATATACAAACAGTCTATTTGCCCTACTTTTAATGCATAGAAAAGAAAAAGAAGCATGGAAAAGAAACATCCATTTGGTATATGACAAGCAAAAACAAGACAGAACAAAATCTGCCCTTTTCAGAAAGTGAGATTCATGGTTATGTAGAACTTGAAGACTAGCAAGCAAATGTAAATGATGGTTCCAAGCTCATATATATTCAACAAAGACAAACATCTGAAAGAGGCAGAGAGAATTATGGCGCCGTCTCCCTCCTAATAGTGATCGTGGCTTTGACTGTAGAAAAACACTTTTGTAACTTTCAGATTCATTCATTCACATTTATTAGACGTTATTTTATACCAGAAAATTGGGGGGAGTGCTTTTTCATACATTCTTATTTAAGTCAGTCCTAATAACAGACAAAAAGGAAATCTAAAGCTCAGGGAAGTGAAGAAAGGTTTTAAATTTGTACAGGTAATTGACTTTATTTTTATCATGTTTAGGAACATCTTGCTTCAGTACCTGTGTTTTATCAAAATTAATCTCATTCATTTCTTGTCACTCTCCGAGATGCACTTTAAGTGAGGAAACTGAAATTTAGGAATATTAAGTGACTTGCTCACGAAACTGAAATTTAGGAATATTAAGTGACTTGCTCACAATCGCGCAGCTAATGTGTGACTGTGGTTGAAATGGTAACAAAGCCCATTCCCCGGCTGCAGCAGAATTTGAATCGTTAATTCTAACTCAGTAACCTTGGGTACCAACATGAAATGGTATTTGATCAACTAGATTGTGTAAAACAGACCCCTGACTGTTAACTTGTGTCTGACCTGGAAGGGTTGTAAATGAACTAGAACACCCGATGGAGGCTTTATGCTTTGGGCTTTCCTGAGAGTGGTCACTGGCACATCTTTGACAAGACCCTGCAAACTGTGCCTATGGAATTATTACAAAAGGTATTGGCTCTTGTGGAGCGCGAAGCTTCTTCCTAAGCCAGAAAGGGCATCTCCTACAACTCCCCAGTGAGTCTCTTTTTGCACCTCGGCTGTCACCTAGGAAGAAGGTAACCCCTGCAGCGATCTATTATTAATTGCTCTGTGGACTACAGCAAGACTCCCGCTGAAAGGAACAGCCCATGCTAGTGGCTATGGTTCCAGCCTCTAGACTGATGCCAGCTGTGGCCTGTGGTCACCTGATGGGTCTGCATGCATAGCTAAAGTTCAGAAGGTCCCCTGCTCTGGACTACAGAGTGAGAAAGATAGAATTTGAGACTAACTCTCCTGTCTCCAAGTGCTTGTTCTGTATATCACAGCTGCTTTATCTTAATGTGCTTTATTTTACCTTAGAAACTCAGAGCTTATTTACCTTTATTGTTTACCATTTAATGCCACTCCAGGTTAGTGTGTAGGCCGCTTATGGCAGAGCCAGGTTTGGCAGCATCTCTAGCATTGACACGTAGCTGCCCAGCGTTTCCCTCTGTCTTGAATCCAAGTTTATTCCTGGAAATTCAGATGAGATATATTCCTATTGATTGTTTGGGGACTCGTGTGGCATATAGAATGGTGGTACCAGTTCTTTTTTTACTTTCGGCTAATTGAAGAGAGAGATCTCCTGAATTATTATTATAATTTTTTTTTCCTCTTCTTCTTTTCCCAGGCAGCCTCCTGCCAGTGAGTCTCATTGGAGAATGTTGCTGCAAGACATGTTAGCTATGCAGCAGAATGTTTACACGTGTCTAGATCCTGCTGCTTGCTATGAGGTAACTCTACCAGAACTTATTTCCTTTGATTTAGAAATTTTGGTTGTCACAGATCGTTTATCGTACACAAAGGCGATGACCAGAAAGGGTTCTCATTTGAACTTTTCTGTTAAATAAGCCAGAGTATCTCTTGTGTCGCTGTGCTATGGCACTGCAAAGCGTGGCCCATTGATAAAATGAGAGTTACAATCTCTACTTTGTGAAATAGTTTGGTATTTTAATTCAAAGTGATTTTAACAAAAGAGCACTAATGTAGACTGTTGAGAAATGAATGGTTTTATATTTGAACTGCAGGTTTTTAAATGCTTGAATGAGCCTAAAGTTTATATTTATGGTCTCAGACCATGTACAGCTGCCACAAACTTCCCTTTTTTTATCTAACACAAAACTTGAAATCCAATTTCAGGAGAAAAGAAATCTGTGTGCACATGGGGTCCAAAATGTAATTCTCCTTAGATATGTCCAAAGTAGTGTTTTTAAGTTGGAGTGGCATTATTTTGGCATTTTCCAGTTTCTGATTCTGGTTGAAAAATTGGTATTATGTATGTTACACTTGAACTAGCTCCTGTGTAATTTGTCATTAATAACTTGTCATATTAAATTGATTTTGTTATATCTTAACATCTTCCTATTAGGATTTGATATTGTAATGACTTCTGGCCATTAGTCTCTCTCCTTAGAGAAAACATTTGAAAGCATATTATAACTGTTTTGAAATGGTTCTAGAAGATGGTAATACAGATTTGGCAAACTTATATTTTTAAATACTAGTTTAGTACCTTTTAAATTATGCTGTATTGTCTTACTGACTTTTTGGCTATTATATTAGGTTTTGATGTCCTTGGAAAATAATTTGAAAGTTCAATGGCACAATTTTGAAAATGTTATACAGCCTAGATAGCAGAAATCTATATTGTTGATTTTAGAAAAACTTTTAGAGTGAGTGAATTATATTTTTCTATATTGGACAGTGACTTCTTATGGCTTACTTGAATAAACCAAAGTAATAGAGAAACTGTTACATCTAAGTCATTTGGGTCACTGAGAGTAAGCCATTTTCACCTGTCAGATATAAGTAATGAGGGTTATTTATTGATAATATGCTTTCTATCACAATATGTATTTTATAGCATATCCCTCGTAGGTATTAATAATTTTATCTGTATCAGCAATTTCAGTAAAGGCCTGACTAATGATACCTTCCCCAGAAGCCTAGAAACAAGTGAAAATAAGGGAATCCTATGAAAATTGGATAGTTTTATTATAAGGAAACTCTTGTTTCCTTGTGAAATCTTTTTTTCATTTCTTTTGTTCTGTCTTCATCCAACAGTGGCATCATGGGAAAGAGCATTCTTACAGAAGTTCTCGTACTAATTATATATTGATGTCATTAGTATAGGTTTAAAAGGATCTCTTAGAGACTTTTCTGGAACCTTTTTTTTACCCCCAGAGATGGTATTATTATTTTTAAAATGTTTTTTATTTTTCAATTATAATTGGCATCTGGAGTCTTTTTTGCATAAGGGACATTTGCCCTTTGCCTGTCTTAAATGTTTTATCTGTGTTGCCAAGTTTTTATTATATACGATTTATCTTTTACATTGCTATTTAGAATTTTTAAAAATTTTATGGCTATTTTTTCTTATGGTTTCTGTCTTTTGTGTCATCCTTTAAAAAGCCTTTAATTCTCAAGACATTAAAATAGTTTTTCATATTGTTTCTTACTAATTTTAATAATCTCAATTATAAAAAAAAGTGTTAATTGATGCTCTTAGTTGTCTAGTTGAATACAGTGATATTTGCATGAATACCTTCCATCAGTTGCTCTTGTTTTAGTTAAATAGTTTTAAATTTGCAGATTGAAAAATAGCTCAATGTTATATGGTATATTGTAATTTTAATGATTAGGTGTAAGTATAATATTGGCAGCTTGGCTTTTTAGTTTGTAGACTTAATGGAGATGCTTTAAGCAGTCATAAATTATATGTATCACTTTCAAAGATGTTCTTTTAAAAAATTGAAATGGTTATAAATAGTTTAAGCAGAGTGGACTATATTGAGTTTAGGACAGTACGTCTAATGGATCCTATTTTGTTTTTCTATTTTGAATTACAGTTGATATTCAATATTATTTTGTTAGTTTCAGGTGTACAGCATAGTGGTTAGACATTTATGTAATTTACAAAGTGTGGATCCTGTTTTTAATGAGACTGAACTTCAGGTATTTTACTTAAGTAGTCATTTTCATGCAATTAAAAATTATGCATAATATTGGTTTGTTCACTTAATTTATTTTTTCTTCTTCCTAAAAGAGGGATTTTTTTTAATTGAGGTGAAATCACACAATATAACCTTAACCGTTTCACAGTGTACTTCATCGTCGTTTAGTTCATTCACAGTGTTGTGCAGTGGCCACCTCTGGTAGGGATACGTTTTTATTTCATTTGGCTGTCAGAGCTTTCGTTTGGTTAGAATCTAATCCTCTTTCTTTAAGCATTTATTCCAGTTTCTTTTTTCCCCAGATATTTACAGAAAGCCTTCTGTGTTCCAGTCGCCTTGAAAATATTCACCTGGCTGGGCAGATGATGCACTGCAGTGCTTGCTCAATGAATCCGCCACCCAGCGTGGCCCAGAAAGGCAAAACCCAGTATAGGGTCAGCTACGAGAAGAGTATTGACTTGGTTTTGGCTGCCAGCAGAGAGTATTTCAATTCCTCCACCAGCCTCACAGATAGCTGCATGGATCTGGCCAGGTACAGAACTATATTATTCCATGAGAGAGGGCAGGCAAGTCAGAATCCACAAACTCCATTGCTGGTTTTGTGCTTTACTTTACACACTATATTATCACAAGGATAAATAGACTGTGCTGTGTGGGGCACAGTTATTTATTGCTTAATATAGAAAGAAAACTTAGTTATGATTATTCAACTTCCTCGTGACCCCTTTTTTCCAGTACGCCTTCCCATAGTCCTTTTTGCTGATTATCTGTAAAGTTGTACTTCTCTTCTGTTGGAAGAGATTCATGTGGTAGCCTGAAAATTCAAGTTCTGTAAATTTCCTGCCCATTGAGGTGGTATCTGTAGCCCTTACATGGCTTTTGCTCTGTTTAGGGACACACCTTCTAATCACCTGATTAGATGATAAAGCGCAAAATTCTCTTCCAGACATTTAGTTCCCCTCTTGGCCTGTTGTACTGGAAAATTCATCAGTCATCTTTTTACTATTGATTCTAGCTTTTTTTGCATAAGGGACATTTACCCTTTGTCTGTCTTAAATGTTTTATCTGTGCTTCCAAGTTTTTATTATATATGGTTTATCTATATATGCAATTCAGAATTTTTTAAAAATTTGGTTGATATTCTTTTCTCTTATGGTTTCTATATTTTGTGTCATCCTTTGAAAAGCCTTTAATTCCCAAGGCCATTAAAATCGTTTTTCATATTGTTTCTTACTTCTTTTATGGTTTATTTTTACACTGAAATTTTGGACCCATTTGCAATTTATTTTGATGTAATGTTTAGATTTACCCCACTCCCCACCCCTCAGGGACATAGTTGTTTCAACACTAGCAAAACTTAGAGGTAACTTTTTTTAAGTGGTGTCTTACCACAGAGAGAATCATGTTTTCTCAGAACATGTTATTGAACCTGACAAAGTTATTCAACTAGTTAGTATATTTTTTCTTTTCTCTCTAGGGATTGTATCTCAGATGATGAAAATATCAAATAGAATAGCCTTTGAAACTGGGAGTTGTGGTTGACCTAAATCTTTTTGGCAGATGTTTTCATAGATCATTATAAAAACTATACTTCCTGTATTTCCTCTTCATTCCATCTTTCTTTCTCCCACAAGGACACACGTTGATTTAAAAAAGATATCATGTGTGTGATGTGGCTCCAAATTCATTGAGACCTCTGTGTTCGGATATATTTAAATGTTCACAGTTGTATTAATATAGAATATAGCCCATACATTCTTAAATTATTTTTTATTAACTAAATTATTAAATTATTATTTATTAACTAAATTATCATTTATTAATAAATTTTCTTATTGAGGAAGCAATACATTACAAGATAAAATAGCCAAACAATATAGAAAGCATATATATTGATAAGTCTTTTTCCTCATTCTAGTTTTCTTGACTTTATCCCTCAGCAGTTTATCCCTTAAATCACTTTCCTGTGTATGCCTCTAAAATATTAAATGCTACCTCCTTTTTTCAGTCATAAGTATGTGCTTTCTACTTCTACATACCTTTCTGTATCTTTGTTTTTTGCTTATGATCTATATTGAAGGTTTTTCCATATGAGTTACACGTAGGTTTATATTATTCTTTTTTATATTTGTTGACTATTCCATTGCTTAATTTTTATAGAATTTAATTAATGAGTTCCTGATTTAGTGTATTTTCTTTTAAAAACATTGTGAATATTCATAATTATATCTGGGTATGTGTGAGCCTATCTATATGATAAGTTCCTAAAAGTGAAATTCTCGAGTTCAAAGGTAAGTGCAGTTAGAATTTTGGTAGATACTTCAAAGAAGTTATGTACCTTATACACCTGAATTGGCGGTATATGTTAGTCCTCATCTGACTTCATTGTACAATTTTGCAAGAGCAAGAGAAGCCTGTGTCTGCCGCTCCTTCGCCTCGGTGTGTACTGTATTCCTCTGATGGTCCGTGATCTTGGCATCCCTGGCCCCTCATGGCCTGGTCTCCAGCTAGACTTTCTGGTCTCTTGTTCCAGCGTTCTCCTACACACACCTTTCCAACGTAAATGTATTCGTTTATTAAAATATTTATTAAGTATGCTCTCTGCATTTGAAAATATTGTTTGGAATACTCCAAAGATATCACACATTCTTAGATTAGCAAATCACAGACTTTCTCCTATATTTATCTCAGTACCGCTTTACCAACTGATTCCTTTTTTGATCAGAAAAGTCTCTCGTGCAGTTTCTTAGGTTATTCTTTCAGGAAGAGAGACAGTTGTCACTGAATCAAGATATTTCTGTTTTTCCTAGAAGAATAGCTGGAAATTATCTGCATTCTGAATATTTTTTTTTAATCCTTTCTAATATGGACATGACCTTTGGGGTAAACAGTAAGAAGAGCACTAAACACAGAATTAACATGTCTTGCTCCATTCCGCGGCCCCATGCCGTGCTGCTGATGTAACTCTGCACAAATCTCTTCACCTCTCTGGGCTTCAGTTTTGGCTTTCTTAAAAAGCAGATAATGATATTTGCCTATCGCAAAGCCTTGTTACAAGGATTAAGCAAGATAACAGAAAACATCTAGCAGAATACTTGGAATGTAGTAGGCTTTTAATAAATATGTGCTGGGTCTCATGTTGAATATAGAAAAACAGCTTAACCAAACATATGTTACTTTGTCTTTTAAAATATTTATCTTATTTCCCTTAGGTGCTGCTTACAGCTGATAACAGATAGACCTGCTGTTATTCAAGAAGAGCTAGATCTTATCCAAGCCCTTGGATGTCTTGAAGAATTTGGGGTAAAGATCCTGCCTTTGCAAGGTGAGTTTTCTGCTTGGTGTCGCACTGTTATTATTTTGCATTAATTTGCTAGAGTTCCTTTTTAGTTTCTTAAATCAAAGAGTACCTTTGGTTATTTAATCCAGTGGCAATGGAGCCTGCCCTCTGCACCATTTTTCAAATGAAATTTAAGTGGAAATCCAAAAGGAAAAAATAAAGCCAACATTTTATTACAAATTTCTTTTTTAAGTTCACAGTTATGACATTAAAAGAAATAGCATTAGGAATAGCAGTGAGACTATAGAAATCGGGGATTATGGACGAGAGTTTCAGACTTATATTAGTTTTAGTATACAGTTTATTTCTGTATTTTGTTTCAGTTAACATAGATTTAGAAGTAGCTATAAATGATAATAGTTTATTTCTTTTTATGCTTGCTACAGAATATTCTTTAAGTCAATACTGTTATTTTAACAGTATGACAGGGAATGACAGGAAGTTCTTGTTTAGAGTTTAATTATTAGCAATATCTTAACATTGCTCAGGCTCTTTGACCTCAATGTAAGCGTTAGGTAAATACCAGCCAGAACCAGCCCATTATCACACAATCACTTGTTACTGTCTACATCCTACTGCGAGTACAGTGTGCACCTCCCATCGTCCTGACCCTTAACCTGACAGGAGGAGGGAGGTAGATGTTCTGTTGCTTCAAACCCTGGACATCGCTCAGTGCCCTAAGTGAAGTGGGCAGCTTGGTTATTAACAGTTTGCTTAGCCGACTTCACGATAATCTCTTATCTTTATTCTTAACTCTAGAAATGTTTAGAATTAAGGGTAGGGGAGGTAGGGCTGAGTTCCTTCCATCTCTCTGGATTTTGGTAAATTTTCACCAAAATTATTTTTCCTTTTCTTTAATTTCCAAGTACCTTTGGGCAGTGATGGATGGCCTGTGATAGGTTCCTTGGTGTCTTTGTCCTCTGCAGTGTTTTGAGTCAGATGGATCTTAGCGGATATCTTAGGGAATGCCACCAGAGACATTCTTGTGTTTTCGTGTGGGTTTCCATTGTAGATTTACAAAAAATTAAAGTTCTGCTTGTCAGGCAAATTTATTAGACTTGATAAGGTAGTATTACTATTATCTCGAATACCATTGTTTGGAAATAATTTGTACGTGATTATAAATATCTCAAAGCATCTTAAACAAGTATAGTAAAGGTGATTAATAAATCACTAGACAGTTCTATTTAGTTGTATCACTCATGTAATTTTCGAGTTCAGAGCTTCTTAAAATTATGAAGATTAATCAGTTATTAAGAAGCATTTTCAGTTTATTCTCAAGTGTCTTAAATCATTAACTACCCTCCCAGCAAAAGTTATATTTTTAATTGAAGTTTTCAGTCACAATAGAGTCCAGAGCACTGCAAAACTAGCTCTTCTCATATCTCTTGTTAGGCCAAGTCGTTACAGCTTCCTCTCCCTCCCTCATTTCTTTCTCTTTCTCG